CATCTGGTCGCTTTCATGATTATGTTTTGCTTCTCTATCTCAGTTCATACGTAACATGAAACTTGGACTTCATGTATCTTTACATTTGTTCATGTCTTTTGATTTGTAGCAATTTTTATTTTCAATAATTACTTGTTTATTTTTGGTGACATTATTGTTTGAATGTTTATCGTTAATTTAGGTTTGATTTTCAAGTTTTCATAACTGTTAATAAATTGTAAACTACTATTTTGAAATTGTACTCTGAACATTTGGATGTTCTTATTAATTTTTTTCACTGGTCTGTCGAGTGTTTTTGTTGTTGAAGATTGTTAAGTGCGTGGGCTCCATTGAAAAACCGGTGTGAGGATGTTTGTAGAATTGATTGTTTGTCGATGTTATTGTCCTTATCTACAATGCTCACTCGGGCAGAATTATTGAACTGAAACTTCATTTTTTTTTATTTCAATTTAGCAGCACAATCCCCTGCCTGCATTTAACTTTTGACATCGTTCACTGTTACATATTTCGATGATATTTCATGAAAACTGCGTTGACATGTGATATATAATTATATACTGAAAGCTCGGCAGTGCCTAAGTTGGACTGCTTCTAATGCGTGCTTCTACTTGGCTCTTCGATGATCTCGTTATATCGATAGTGACACGTGCTACATAGCGAATGTCGTTCTTCATTTATGGTCAGACGAGTAGTCATCATTTTTCCATTTCTTGTTTATTTGATAGTTTAATTTTGTTAAAGGTGGCTGACAAGCTATTACCAAAATGAAGAAATAATTATGTATTTGATTGCACAATTCGTAATATTGAGAAACTCTAGTACTCTATGTTGAGTGGCTTCAATTAAGTAGGATCTATAATCTGCGTATTATTAATGTTACTCTTTATTCTGCTGAATTTATACTAAATCCATTTTTTTTATTGAAAGACAACTTGACAGCATCGATTAATAGGCGCATTACTCACATAAACATCCCGTTAACAGAAGTCTGCAAAAAATTTTTTCTAAACGATCATTTTTTGTTTGGTTGTTTAACTACTCAACTTCCAATTATTTCAACAAAGATGACACTGCAAATACCGAATGTGCTATTAATTAATTCACTCTTGAAAACAAAATACAGACACAACTACAATGAAATTGATATTAGCCAAATAATAACATGCACATTTTTCGTTTTTATATAATTATCGTTAAAGGCGTTTATTATTTATTAGAATTTATTATTCGCGTTTATTATCTCTGACATCTCTCTCATCGTATATATATATATATATATATATATATATATATATATATATATATATATATATGTATATATATATATATAGTGTGTGTGTGTGTGTGTGTGAAAAAATGTTAGAAAAAATGATGAAAAAATTTAGAATAGATGAAAAGAACAGACTGATGACGTCAAATGAACGAATGCTCCTTTCGATCAAAAAATTCTTCGCACTCAGATGCACTTTGCACATGCAGGCTTAATTAAAACATGCCATATAATTGATTTCTTGTGCAAACATCCTCTCATGTGTGGCAACGATTATCACAAGGTGCTAAAGTCTTGCGTGCTCTCACGCTTGTACGTTAGCAGTTGTCAAGTTGTTGGTGCTTGGCTTTGGTTAGGTGTCTTGGGCTTTCCTCATTAAAGAAGTTTATCTTGTTTCGCAAAAGCATTTACGAAACTGTTTACGTTAAATTTTAAGTTTAAAACTTTCATTCAAAACGTTGAAACGTTTTCAAAGAGAAAAAAATAGGGTGTTTAGTTTACCTATGATATAAAAATNGATGTTTCTAAACTTTAACACTA